AGTCTCAGTTCGCGATTCTAAAAAATGTCTTGGCAGTCAATCAGGTCAGTTCACTACCTCCAGACTGACAGTTTGAACCGCAAAGATGAACTGACAACTGACTGATTGACTGATAGCAACTCTGGACGAGGCAGATGTATACCTTGAGCAGCGTACAACTCATGATTTGAAGCGCAACAGTATTGTGTCCGGTAAAGCAAGCCCCTGGTCATGATGAAACAAGTCTGATACCTGATGTAGTGTTTCTACGGGCGTTGGATTATTTTCAGGGCATACTCTTCCTGACCACAAACCGTGTGGGTCACTTCGACGAAGCTTTCATGTCACGCATTCATCTATCGCTCGGATATGAACCGCTCAGCAACAACGCAAGGGAGAAGATCTGGGACAATCTGTTCAAGAAGCTACAGCAGGATCACAAACGTGGCGGACCTGAGATCACTTATGAGTATGACGCCAAGAGGTATGTCCAAAGTCGCGACGTTCAGGCTCTGGAATGGAATGGTAGAGAGATTCGGAACGGTAAGCTGATACACAGTCGCAAATTCGTCCTTTTGACTAACAAAAGCCCTCATCAGCCTTCCAAACCGCCGTGGCGTTGGCTGTGTTTGATGCCAAGTACAAAGCAAGCGGCAAAGTTCCGGAAGTGACAGAAGCCCACCTCAAGCAGGTTGTTTCGATGTCTTCAGCGTTCCGGAAATATATGACGGCAACACATAGCGGTATGGATGCCTCGTCCTGGGCGTATAAGCATGGTAATCGCGAAGACAAGTATCCGGGCACGCTGGCGAAATGAGAAATTTCGTGGAGAGTCGGCAGTGCTTTGGTGTACCTACTAGCACAACAGTAGCGCTGGTGATGGTCAATTGCTCAGGAAGATCGAGTCGAACGGTATACTACGCTATTTGAGTGTCGTTTTCCCTTGGTAGCGTTACAGCACTTTGCACAATCAGTAGTTCTTTCTTAAATAACGTACGTTGTCTTGTGCACCCATGTTCAAAATACCTCCCTCAGGACAGAGGTTCGAGAAATTGCGCGGTGGCCATTGGGATAGCACTCTGGAAAATGGGGTGGCTGGACGCGTTTTGTTCGCGATGCAGGGTCCAGAGACACGAAAGTTGGACCCCGGTGACGAAAGCTCGGTAAATCTGGCCACCTGCGCTACTCAGACGTCATTTCAATGCACCAAGAACTTTTATATCATTAAGCTGCGACGCTATGAGTTTGCAGTCCGATGCTGACGTACATTAATGCCAGCCCATCTGTTCCGATGTGCTTGTCATCGAGACATGGTCGATGACCCCCACCCACAATGAAGCACCCTGGTCGGAGACTCGAATAGAGACTAAATATATACATCAACAGAGGTTCTTTCATAGTCTTTCGTCGCCCAGGTTCGATGCAGAAATTGTTCAGGATAAAAGCTCGTCCAGACGCGTAGTCCAAGACGCCGCTGAGCCACCACCATCTACCCGGGGTCCAGCAATAGAGATAACATCACCCTGAACCGGTGAGTCGCTCTGCACAGCGTCATCATATCCTACAACCCACTCAGCGACGTGCGGACTCACATAATGCATAGCATCTGTCAGCCCGCACAAGGCTGCCTTCCCGCCCGCGCGAGCGCACTCCTCTTTCTGGCAAACATGCGCGTTGATGCAACCTAAGCTTCGGCATTCACTCCCTTTGGAACATGATGTTCCGAGTGCTTTGTATTCCAAAACATTGTAGACTTCTGGACTCAGAGGGCTGCCATGGGATAGCATACAATCGCTTGCGATACAGTTTCCATGTAAGTGGAAATCAATACAGAGCTCCAGGACCTTGGTACGTTCTTTGTAGGCCTGAAGCTCTGCAGGAGTTGGAATTTGCATCCGAACATCGAGTCGCTGCCTCGCTAGATTGGTAGGAACAAGACCGTAGCGAGCTTGCGTGGGTAGGGGTGATGGAAGAGAAGGCACATCTACTTCCTTGGTGACTAGGCTGACATTGGTGGGACCTTTAGTCGGCACAGCAGTGACGGAGGTATTCGAAATCTGAGATCATTGTTAGTGGGGCATCTTTGGAGAGTGTGAATGACAGACCCTGGGCGTAATCAAATCCGCTGGAGCCTTGGTAGAAGTTGGCTTGGTCGTAGTGTCGATAACTCCATAGTTCAGCTGGCTTGCTTTGAAGACGTTGGCGAACGACACTGTACGCAAGCCAAGCCTACGGATTTTCTCATCAACAACCAAGCCGGTGACTATTGTCACTTTCTCCTTCTGTGCAAGATGGCGACTCAATGTGTCATGATATCTTGGTGATCCACCCGCACAGAAAAATACGTGCTTGCATTGTCCACTCGCCATGTGTAATTTAAGGTTTTCTGAAACCCAGTATGTCAGCGCACTGGTCGAAGACAAAAAGACGCAAGTATTACCACTAATTCTTATCGACACCTGGTTCTCGTCACCCGTGTCCACAAAGTCAAAGAACGGACTAACTTTCATAAACTCGGCAAAGTGGACTGCCAAAGGTCTCTTTCCACCGATGACATGGTGTGAAAGTGTCTTCAAATGAGCAAAGATCTTGATAACGATTTGATACCGCCCGCTCCGCGCGATGGCGGGAAGTACTGCTGCAAGCTTCTCGCGCACAACAGCGCGAAGACGCATCGCAGTTTCCGCACCTCCATCGTTGCTGTACAAGTGGTCATGAACCTGCCAGCATGTTAGTACAAGACAAAAAACTCCGATGAAAGGTGTACCATGTGGCTCATCCCATCGATGAGAACCAGTATAACCGCATCCATGGCATTGTTAGTTGGGATTATCATGGCATCCTTGCTTGCAGTTCCAGGGACAGTGACTGTAGTCGTATTTTGTGATTTCATTACTTCGCTGCGAACAAGCTCGCTCGCGCCGTTGGACCTCTTCAAGTATAGACCGTATTCTGAGACCACGGTCTAGCAGCAGGTCAGCCGTTGAACACCAATACGCACAAAATAGAAGATGTTACCGCCAACCTCTTCTGTAGTGCTTGACCCTCTGCGCGCAGGTTCTGTATCACAGCTTCCTGCGCTGCCCGTTCTTTTCGCGCTGTCATCGCGCGTATCTTGAAGAGTAACGTGTGCGTGGCGGTCGAAGGAATCCAAATACGAAATCTGCGCAGTTCGAGTGGCGGGACGTCGATAGAGGAAGGTGCCAGGGACTGAGATCAAAACAAGGTCTTGCCAAGGCAGGGCGGACGAATGAAGGCAGACGTTTCAGGTTCACCTTCACCATGAAGCCTCTACACCCAGGACAAGAGGCTGTGTTTGTTTACATTAGTCTCAACATCACTGGCAATTGCAACGCAGAGAAATTGTGTGGCTGCACTTCCGCCAGAGCGACCGTTGTCGAGGAGCTCGTTATGGAACTAATAAGACTTTCCATAGATGCAAGAGTTTAAGTAAGAGAACAGCTAGTTGATCTGGTATCGTCTGGTAAATGAGAACACTCTCCAAATCGAGAGCGAGTCATACTATCCCCTTGTATTGATACAAAACAAACGTGTAGCAGAATGTGCTACCTCCCGTGCTTGTAGAGCACTATCAAATGGTATCTTTCTACACTATCCGCCTCATCACTCCAGAAAGAAACAGGCCGCGTCATGTAGTGCGCAAGCATGTTGAAACCGACGCGATCACGCCCTTCGTAAACGCGCGTCACCAAACAAAAGAAATTCAACGAAGTACAATGTCCGCCCTCGTAGGGTTATGTTGTAGCCACTCGTCTTCGTGTATCCGCGCAATCGCCACTCGCTCCGCATGCTCACCGACCCACTTAATCAGCATGACATTCAGCATCTTCCAGGGTCCGGTCGCAAATTCCTCGTCATGGTCGTGGACGCGCGAATCCCAAAGGAATCGCTCTCCGTTCCAGATGGGTGTACCTGGGGGGTGCATGGTGTTCAAGCCAGGTTTCCGGCTGTCGGGTGAGGGCTCGCGCCATAGGCTGCGAGACAGCAGAACAAACTCAAAGGGACCTGTGGATGATGGCTCAGATATCGCTGATTCGTAATCCATTATGACACCGCAGTGCGAATTCTTCTCAACGTTGATGAGGTGTGAGCATGGAATATCCTTCTCTTCGTGCTGTATTTGTTCTGCAATGAAGGCGTCCGCAGAGATGGTTTGTGCTGTAAAACGAAGCGTATTCGACTCGTTGCTGTGATCTGATCCGCGTGGTGCGTGGAAATATGGCGGGTACCGGATGCGCAGGGAGTTGCCCTTTTCGCGTCGGACTGTATATTGCGCCGACTCGGGCCCGATGTGAAAGTTTACCACCTCTGACTGGAACCATTCGCCCTCGCTCCGTGGAATTTTGTAAATATCTGGGCAGGTCGTAGGGTCGAATGGAAAATTAACCGGACCCTCATATGCAGTCCAGCTCCAGGACGGTTCGTTGACATCCTTCTTAATCATTTGCCCTGCAGGACACCAAAGTAGAGAGAAATCGAATACTGCCTCCGGCAGGCCGTGAAGAAAGTTGCCTCCGCAGTTTTTCGTCAACGCTTTAGAGGCTTTCGAAAATTCCTTCGATGGATAGGCCTGATTTGGCGTTATGGTGTTGCTGACTAGTTGGTTGTACTTTCGAAATCCAAAGAACCAATTTTCGATTTCACTAAAGTCCGCGTCTTGTGATTTGTTGCTTGATAGGCTGGCATTTGATGATGAGCGCAACCTGTTGACTAACTCCATAACGGAACCACGTCGACCAGATGAACTTGAGCGCGGTGATCGTGAGCCATCGCTGTTGCTAGATGCTTGTACTGGCTCTGGTGAAAGTAGGCCGTTTGCTGTTGTTGGCCGTGACTCTTTCTGGGGCGACGTCGATCGTCGAGACATTGGGCGTCGTATCCAGGAAGGCGATAACCGATCTAAAGCGGAAGGTGGATCTGTGGACATGACGAGCAGCGACATGGAGGGAATTGTGTTGTAGAGAAGTAATAAGTGTCGGCGTCGGTCAAAGCTGTGGTAGAGTGCGCTGTAAGTCTCCTACTGGCAGTGTGAAGCGTCAGACCTCAAGTGTCACAGAGGCTGCCTCGCCTTTTGTGTCCGACTCCTGTAGCAGTGTTGCCGCTACGGCTGCGCCCCTTTGGTTGTGTTGTGAGGTATGTCAGTGAAATGTGTGCGTGACGACTTGCGGGCACTAGGAGGCTGTGCATGATCTGGATCACCGGCTCCACAACGCCCCAATTATCTGCTTCGAGTGCGCGCCAGTGGTTTCCAATGGAGTCGCGTGTTGCCGAGACTTGTACCTGGCCTTGACTTGCTTGTTTCCCCGGATATAAAAAAGATACGCACAGAGTCAAGTGTTACTCGAGCGACGACCTGTCTCCAGGGCTGTTCCCAGGTAGCGTCGCTCGATAGGGGAGGCGCACACTGGCATGACAATCTTGCGCAGTTGCTTTCGGCGACTGACACCGGCCGCTTGACCTTCCCATCTACTATGAGTGAACGCGTAGTTGCACAGAAAATCTCTACAGCATGGATAAGCTTTCCTGGTGCCAAGTTTTCTTCGAGGTCTGCGAGGCTGCGAGGGGGTGGCGGATAGTACTGCGCCACACGTCGATGCAACGAGAACAGGGCAGCGGCCCATCCAGGGAAAAGACTATGGCATGACAATACCAAGGCGAGGTGTTTGGTTCTGGGTTCAAGTGGCCTTCGGGTGGAGGTGTGGCTAGTGGGCGCTAAGACAAATGCGGCCCAACGCCACCTGCGCCACAACTGAGGGGTCAGTCGCCCTCTCCGTGTCGTTGGGCTGTAGGCTGCTGTGACGCGTTTACTCCGCGTAGCTTCATAAATTCAGCTGGCAACGACATCGGCCGACACGCAAATCCCAACCTAACACTGACAAATCGCCACCATGTCTGGCTACGAAGGTAATTGCGGGTAAACGCAGGCGCCGTGCAAAGACTGACGCAGACAGTGGAACACAACATCTCCACAGAGGACGACAAGTCGCGACAACCCTCACGTCGACCAGACCTCTCGACGTTCTTTTCTCAGCTTGAACTGGTTGACACGTCGGATCCCCACGCTCACACAAATGCCAATGCTCTACCGCAGCCCGAAAACATGACGGCGGCATTCCGCTTGCTTGCCAACGCTTTTGAGACTATGCGCGGACGACCAGCGGACGAGAGCAACGAACATGGGGATCTGTTGGCAAACATGATTGAGGTACTCCGCGCCAATGCCGACGATCCGCCCACAGAGTTGAAGGGTGTGCCCAACAGCTTCTTGGATGAACTGGAGCGGGTACCGAAGAAAGCGCTGAAGCCTTCCGATACATGTCCCATCTGTGTGAACCCATTCCTTGAAGGTAGGTCGCGTGCCTCAGTGAAGCGAACGAGGAGCTCGGCTAATTGGTACATGCATAGACAAATATCCCCTCGTTGTCCAGCTGCCGTGCCACGAGGATCATCGCTTCGATCTGGACTGCATAGGTCCTTGGCTTAAGCTGAATTCAACATGCCCTCTGGATCGCAAAGAACTTTTGAAGAAGAAGCAACCGCCACCGCCGCCTGCGGACGATGAAGAAGAAGACTATGATGATATGTACGCCTGAGAATGTTCCGCTTTGGCGCCATCACAACGCATCGGAATTAGGGTATACCAACATCTAGCGGATGAGCATGGATGGACCATCATCGATCAGGCGCATAAACGGATCGTACCGGATATTGAAACTTATTGCGAAACATATCTAGAGGCTCAGCACTGGGCAATGGTTTGGCGCCACGCCTTCGCTGCCAGCTCGTGGATCGAATGGAATCTGACATATCTTCCCCACCATGCCTGCCCTCCATCTTGACCAAATGGGTCCTTGACCGAGTGGGTTCTTTACCGACCCCCCTGCACCAACTGCTGGCCTTGCTGCACGAGCGCTGCAGGGAGTAAGAGCTCCTCACTGCCATGCATGACCGCATTGATGAGTGCAAGCGCAAGCTCGTCATATCGAATGAAAGAGCCAGAGGAGCCTGCAACCATCATCGAAGCTTCACCAATAATACTACCTCTCTGTACGACCATGCCTGGTCGAGCTACGATCGTGATCCAGTTCTCGTGGGTCTTTGCAAAGTCGACCATTTGAACTTCGCCCCGGCCCTTTGCAAAGTCAGCACTTTGGCAGCTTGTTTCGGATCATTCTATCTGCAATATACGCGCGTGGTTTATAGAACGAAAAGAATCGCCTACTTTGGTCTTGCGCATGGAGCCTTTCATCCATAATGACCTATCTTGATCGCGTTCAACCATGCCACCTGACAAGTGTAGATATCGAAAGGGCTTTGCGCCGACTGTCATTGTCGATGCAAAGGCCTCAGCGAACGCCTTGGGATACTCTAACTCTAACACAGGATTACCAGCAGTTGTTGTCATACACCTTGACAACATTAGTAATTAATGGCGCGAAAAGACGCAAGTGGCTGGGTACCAGATGCACCCATCTGCTCCGGACAGCTTCGCAAGCACATCATCGGGGTATTTTGTAAAGTCCTCAAGCAGCACTACCTCGAGCTTAGCGTGCGTCTCGATCCCGGGTGGGGGCCGTCGTGACAATGCGATAACCGTCGATACGAGTGGATTTCGTAGCGCGTGATGCAATACATGCGCACCGATGCGGCCAGTGACACCAGAAATTACGATCTTGAGGGACATGTTGGTGAAAAAGTATCCGTGTCCGAGAGGTTTGTCAACATCGCGCGTGGCTTTGTTTATGTGACCTCCTACACCGCGGAGATTGGCCGCATAAGCACTGGTCGCCCTGTGGATTACCTCCGCCGGGGCATCTTTCCTGCCGGTGGTGTCTCAGTAATTCCAATTCCCTAACTCCATCGCCGGACGAGCCTTCAGAACAACGAAAGGAGATCAGAACACCACGAGAGTCTCAACAACGAGGGATTTCTAGACATTAAGAAAAACCGCGCTTACTGAGGTGGCCATGCTTTTGTACGAGCCGAAGAAGCCGTTGCACATTCCCGGAACTATATGACTTAGTAAACTAGAGTAATGCTCGGCCTCCGTTACGGACGAATCCCGGCCGCCGCCCCGAGGAGTCAGCTCCACATCAGCAATTGCCATCGCAACACCTTCACCCCGCTATGAAAGTAACATGGCCGCCCTTATTTGGTATGGTTCCGTGACAGGAATTCGGGTCTCGGTCAACTACATCGCGTCTATCATTTGGTGTCGTTGAGATTATTATGGATTCATTAAGCAACGCGAGTAACACTTCCAAGAAGAGACCCTCCAAGAGTCTTCGCCGGGCATGCTGGGAATGTGAGATCACAACCCATTCATGTACGCTCAATTATAAATGCTAAACATACTACAGGCAAAAAACCCAAGGTCCAAGTCGATGTTAGCCCAGCGACGATCAGCCCTCGCACAAGTATGGACAACCCAGGACCGGATCGGGTAGACGAAGTAAACCCATGCTCGAAACACATCCAAGAAAGGCTGTGCAAACTTGAGCAGTTATTTGAGAGATTCGTGTGTCGTAAAAATGCCACCACAGCCGCAGTCAATACTGCGCCGCGCAGTCCTACCCTCACTGCCTCAGGCTCTAGTGAGAAAGAAAGCAAACCGGATATGTCCGGATACCGAAGTGACGCGTACAGCATCTCCTCACTGGGCGACGGTATTGTAAGCAGCATTGTTCCCGCATATCGCTTGCACTAATGTTGCCAGCTCGGAGCGTATACATGGACGTCAGCGCCTTCTATCCGTACCTTGGTCGACAAACCGGAGACTAAAGGGCAGCCCGCAGGCTATGACAGAAATCATCGAACACTGGCAGCCCTCCTACCCTCCCAACATGATGCAGACATCATCTTCGAATCGTCTAATGGGTGGATGATTCTAGAAGGCATCTACCGGGCTTCCAAGGAAATCTATGTTCACAAGGACTTGCAGTCGTATGCTCTGGACATGCAAGCCGTTGCACAAGAGCGAACCATTATCGTGGCGCGCACGCTTTTACATTTGGCGATTTGTATCAACTCTCTCCCACCAGAGTTCGACTGTTCGCGACTCTCGAGCATGTGGAATTTAGACGCAACGATGCAAAACTATGTTTCAACGGTAACATCACTTGTAACTTCCTCAGATGAACAGATGATGACGCTGCATGGACTCGAGACGCTGTTGCTCTTGGCTCTTTTTCATATGAACAGTGCTTCACTGCGGCAGTCATGGCTCGTTGTGCGCCGCGGTCTTAGCTTGGCCCACCTGATGGGATTCCAACGCATTATCGCGCAAGAGGACCTTAATCCGGCGATCCCGGCGGTCACGAATGCAAAATCGATCTGGCGCTCCTTCGTCGACCTTGATCGGTATCTGGGACTCCATCTCCGCCTTCCGTTCGGCGCGGATGACTATCCACTTGCGGCAGATGCTGATGCACATCTGATCCATCGTTCGAAACTCAACTACATGACGAGACAAGTGGCAGAGCTCGATCGCGATGTCTCACCCCAAGCATACTCAGCGGCGCTGGCACTGGACGAACAGCTGGAGTCATGCATGAAGGAGATGCCCAAGGACTTTTGGGAAGTGCCAAACATCCCGTCTACGGCAAGATCACCGGAGTCATTTGCTACTTTGGAACGACTGATGGTGCAAGTCTGGCACTTTGAGATGAAGATATTCATCCACTTGCCTTACCTACTCAGAGCACATCTGGACAACCGATATGACTACTCCAAGGTCACCGCGTTACAGGCCTGCCGGAACGTCTTGATGAGATGGTTTGCCCTTCGCAACTCAAATATCACACAAGCCTGCTGTCGTTTCGCCGAGATCGGAGTGTTCATTGCTGCCGTCACTCTCACACTCGACATCGTCATTGAGCTGGGCACAAAGGAGAAGAGCGAGGTGAAGAAGACCAAAGGAACAGATTTTGCTATGATCTGCCGTCTTATCGGCGAGATGGAAAAGCTGGCCAGCGCAAGCCCACGCGAAAGAATCGCGGCGCGCAGTGCTGTGGTGCTTAAGAAGATCCTCTCGTCGCTAGACCCGAGCAAACAGCCCGTTGGCAAAGTACGCCATACAATACCGTTCTTCGGAACAGTGGAGTTGGAGTTTATGAAGCTGCCCATACGGCCAGTATTCGACATTGACTCTGACGCAGGCAAGCTGTTGAACGCCCCTGCTACAGGGCAACATCTTCCTGTGTTTTCGTTCATCGACAACTCTTTGTGGCCGCCGGCTGACGATGAGTCAGATCAATGGGATATTGTCCTATTTGACGGTCTTGAAGACCGCGATACTCAGGGCAACTGGGTGTTCTAGGATGGTGTTCATTTCGCTTGAGGTATTGTTTAATCCGGATATAAACCACTCTCATCCCAGGGCTCCGGATACCGCCCTGCGTGTGCATTCAGTAGCGCACAAGGTCCCTGCGACCCTTTCTTTTTGTTGGAGAACATTGGATGCACGGCTAAATGGGCCAATGATTTTGTTTAAAGTTGTCTCCGGCGCACTGGTTGATTCACCTTTAGCGTATCCTATGTAATATTGTCAGTTTCTGCGTTTGTTTCCTTCAACAATGATATCCCTAGGGGTGGCGAATAGGCACAGGCTGGACAGCGGGGTAAAGGCGTTTCAGTAGCAGTCGCACAACAAGCGCGGATGGTGTGATTAGTATCGCGCACAGGCGAATCGAATTGAAAGATCAAGTCTACCAACAAGCAAAAGCAAAGCGCACTAGTGTCGCCAGGTGATGCACCATGTTGAGTTGGCAGAGGGTTGCGGCGGCAAGGCTGAGGGAGGGACTGCAATGTGCCGCTGGCTGATAGGCTGATTGGCGCCGGTACCAGCATGAGGAGGGCCGAATGCGTATCTATCAAAGTCTCAGCTTGGCATGTCAAGTTTCGCGTCTGTGATGAGAGTATCGGCAGCGTAAGCCGAATATCAGAGTGAAGTGGGAGTTCTAGTCGCGCCTGGCTATCGGTGAGGCCAGAAAGATCGCCCGGAGACGGCCAACGGATCGCCTTCATCCTTGGCCCAAGCCCAAGAACCCTGACTTGCGACCAACGGCTGGCCAAGCCATCTCACACGACCACCTTCGCTTGCGCGACACGACTCAACGCGCTCCACCCGTGCATGTCGCTCCTCTCTCCTCCCCGGCCGTGATTGTGCAGACACCTTCACTCTCGCCAGCAATCCGCGAAGCATGAGCACGCAACACCACGGCAGCCAGGGCGACTTCTGGGCCTGCACCACCCGCGATGCCCCCAACCCGCCGACGACGCACACCGAGACGACAACGCGGAACGACGCCGTAAATTCGGGAGCCGCCCTCAGTCTGTTCGAATCAATCATCACCTCCTACCCGCCTGTCCTTGAATCCTTCCTCGCCCAGATCTCCACCGTCACCCTCCTCGAACTCTACCACACATCACGTCATTTGCGCCAGTTCCTGCAAAGGTATCCGCTCGCGTGGAAGACGCTGTCCTTTCGATTGCCTCAGCCCGCCGTTGCAGTGGGCTCGCCAGGCAATGAGACGCCCGAGAACAGGGAACGCCAGTCCAAGGCCTACTCGTTCGACGCACTGCTGAAGCAGATCATATCGCCGAATGGCACACGATTGACCAGCCTGGACCTCTGCAACACGGCCGTCACAGGAATTGCGCTGGTCGGGAGCGTCCTTGCCCCGCGGATCGACACCCTCCAGCATCTGTCCGTACGAGGCTGCAAGAATGTCTCCATCAAGTACCACATTGTCCCCTTCCTGGAGCCATACACATTAAAGGACGCGCCCTGGATGCAGAGAGACCTTGCTCTGAAGAGCCTATACACCTACCGTTGTCGTCACCACCGCCGACGGCCCTATCTCCCCTCCTCCCTTATTCGGAGAGACTCCGATTCCGACCCCACACACCAGCTCATCGAGATCTGCCACCAATTAGGAATTTGGACAGATACAGCATGGTGTCCGACTCCAGGCGGCAGGTGCAACCGGAGGAAGGACTACCACGCAGGAAGAGCAGGACCGCAGAACATGGAAGTCTGGGTACCCTTTGATAGATTATGGCGATCAAGCAACCGCATCGGTCCTGTGGAAGGCACGACAAAGTTGGGCGAACACGATGGCAGACTATGGGAGATTGCTGAGACAGGAGAGGACGGCGAGCCCCTCGGCCCAGAGGGTGGGAACTCCGCAGGAGAAGGCAAGCATGTCCCAGTACACGAGCGAAGGAGCCACACTGCGTTTGTTGAAGAGGTCAAATGTGCGCAATGTAATGACACTATTCTGGAGCGATGCGAGTCTTGCAGTGTCCGCATGCACTGCATGGGTTGCCGGAAGACGCTTTGTGCAAGTTGCGCTTTCAACAGACCGATACCGAGAAAACGCGTGAAGACACGGCATTTTGCAAACCTGGCTTTCGGCAACAGCAGCACATTGGGCGGCACACTTGGACACGCATCGGGGTCTTCTGCACCATTGGAGGACAGGAGTCAAGAAGAGAAGGCTGACCAGAATCGCTTCTGGTGGGCCCCTGGTGCCACCCGATCACCAAATCTCATGAATGAGAGCGCACAGGACGACGACTCATCTGATTCCGAAGACGGCGGGAACAACGGAATGCCAGTACCTCCAGCGAACCGAGAGCCACCAAAACTAAACATGCATTGGTGTTGCCTGGAGCCTATCTTTTCTGGTGGTGGCGGCATTGCTGTGCTAGGCACCGGATTAGGCGGCAGAGGCGCTGATAAGATACGCGCAGCACCATTACCGCGGACGAAGGAGTTTGAAGATCCGGACTTCAGCAACACGCTTCGGCCTGTTGACTACGTCCGCGAGTTGAAGAACAACGGCCTGTATGAGTACGTGCTTGGGGAGGATGTTGATATCCTGTCGTACTTGAAGCAGGACTCGCTTGATTTGCAACAGCAAACATGTCCGAGAGGTCTATGCAACGACTGTTACCGAAGCTTCCGCTGGAAAGTGTCATGTCGGGCATGCAAGAACCCCATTTGCAAAGAGCATGATTTCAGAGCGCTAAAGGTCCGCAAGTGTGGCTATCGGGATTTGCATACCGAGCGAGAGCACGTACGATCGCATAACGAGCCGCCACAGCGTCTTGTTATACCAGAGTTCAATCCAAACAGGGCCAGCACACCGGATCCCGAACGCACACCTACAGCATCGTCATCCCATCTAGATTTCTACTCCACTGGTGACAATGAATCTGAATCTTCCGAAACACCCATGTCTCAGTCACAGATCATGGTTGCTCCTCAACACTCGTCAGTCGATATGTCGGCCACAACGTCCTTCAATTCCATCTCAAACCCCGAACCTTTCCAGCTTGCAACCTCGCTCTCTTTTGTTCCTATCAGCACCGGACGTCCACGCTCTTTCAGTGTATCTGGCGTTCGCGGCCGACCCACTAGTGCTTGGTCGCCGAATTCTCAACGTGTCCCGGTTAACCATGCAATCATGAACCCACTTCCATTGCCCTGCAATCCACGGCATCCCGTGCAGTGGAGTGGTTGTGGTGCGTATTTCTGTCAGTACCCAAGGCCTGCAGGAGACAACCGACCACAGTGTCCGGGAATTCTGAAAGAATGCTCGGAGTGTGCAGTTCTTGTCTGCGATGTAAGTCTATTCCCAACATCTCTTCTCATCTGTTCACTAACACAACTTTCAGCAATGCGCGTCCTCGAACCCAGCTTGCACATGCACGTTCTGCACTGTCAACTATCACTGTCCGACGTGCACACACAAACCCAATGTTCGCGCGAAATGTCGGCTTGAGGCAGAGATTAAACAGAAGAAAGAGGAACAGCTCCGTGCGATAGCCAAGCAGAGGAAAGACAAGGAAGAGCGCGGAATGGCAGATGAGTTGGCTGGAGCAATGTTCGAGTTTTTCACAACAGTATACGATGAGAGCACCGGCAACCCGACCATAGATGGCTCATCCGCATCGTTCACGCACGACTTACCCATTCCGAGCCCAGACTCTATTACTGTAACAACAGAATTTGGTGTCATGGAAGAGCCTGCGAACTTGACGACGATTAGTGCATCTGGACCTTCACCCTACCATGCCGCTTATGACCATTCCGACGATGAGGAAAACAACGTCGAGATGACTGAAGACGTCAATGAGGATGTCGAAGCACTTCAGCAGGGCCTAGCTCAGATGCACCTAACTCCTGTGCCCGGCATGAGTGCTCACATACTACATGTGCCGGTAGAAGTCGAGCCTGAACACATACACGATGACAACGGAGAAGAGTCTGACGAGGTCAACGACACCGGTGCCGAGGCGGACATAGATACCGACGACCTTGACGCGGGCGCTGAAAGCACCTTTGTAGACGAGTCCGGTGATGATACTCTGGTTGGAGGTATTCTTACACCCACAACCACCATCACGGCATGAGACTAGACCACGCAGACGCGACGCAAATACTGCTCATTTCAACAAGATAGCATAAAAATCTCTTTGGATGCAAGTCCTACAAAGAAACATTAAATTGACTTTAAGGAGTAAGGTTAGGGATCTACAGTCTCTAAGGAGGCGGGATCTAAAGCAGGTGATACCCAAGGGAAATACGGTGAAATGGGAAACAGCTACGGCTTGGTGGGCATACGGGAATATTGGAGTAGGAGTAGGCGGACATGGGAAACCTGTATTCTTTTACGTTCCGCATTTTGGCGTTCATCCTTGCTGTTCATTCTAGAATTTGGTCTTGATTCAATTCAATCGTTTGAACTTGTCTGTATTATAGCCAATCTTTCTCCTTCAGTCAGCCCTCTGTTGACTGCTCTGAAGAATGCTTGTCTCATTTCCTTGCATGAGATAGCTGCATGATCTGGTGTAAAGACATGTGTATCATTGCTTAGACTATCACATTATCTATTCCTTAGCGCTCAAAACCTCCTTGACAACCTTGATAACTTCTGCAAACGCATCCTTTGGCGCAGCTACCACACCCTTGTTCTCCCTGAGTGTCCTTCCGAGGCCAAAGTCAAGAGGCTTGCCGTATGCATCGCTGACCTCACCACCTGCCTCCTGAACAAGTACCACACCGGCAGCGTGATCCCAGATCTTCTCCTGGTATGTCTTGCTGACTGGCAGTCTGAGGTACAAGTCACCGGCTCCACGGGCAATGGAGCAGTACTTGGCTTGCGAGTCCATGCGAACCGAAGGCTTGGTGATGCCGAGCTTTGATGCAATGGCAGCGTTGTCGCCTTGTGATGAGTGACCTGCTTCTACGGATTCGCAGAATGTGGCTTGGGTGACATCTGAGAGGGGCTTCATCTTGATGGCCTTTGCTTCTGTGAGAGCACCCTTGCTCAGCGGTCGGCTTGTAGCACCCTGTCCCTTCACGGCACCGAACAGCACGCCCTTGCCCTCCTTGTCGTCTGCGTCTTGTCCGGTAGTGGTGGTGAGGGGAGCCTGGTCGTCGACTGGGAGATTGGGGCAGCCGATGACACCTACGGTAGGTACACCGTCTACGAGTAGACCCAAGCAGACAGCGTATTGTCCACCACGCAAGAATCCCTTTGTGCCGTCGATGGGGTCAAGTGCCCAGATCCTGCCCTTCCTGCCACCCTCACTGTTTCCCTGGTCAAGCGCTGACAGCATAGCATCTGCGCTCTTGATGGGTCCACCAATCTTCTCCTCGGCAGAGCTGTCCTCTAGCTTCGCTGCTTGTACCAGATCCCAGACAAGGTCACGGAGCGAGTCGTTCTTGCGCAGGTCGTTGGCGTCCTCCTCGCCAACAACTTCGTCCTCTGGGAAAGCATGCTTTATCGATGCGATGATCAGGGCTTGCGCGCCGAAGTCGCCGATTGTGACAGGGGAGGAATCGCTCTTGGACAGCGTGCCCTTGGAGTGGCTCGAGTAAACCGACTTTGTGAGGATGGATGCTCGCTGAACAGCCAGGAGAGCGATCTCCAATTCCTTCTCGTAGGCCATTGTGTGTATGCTTCGATTCGAATTCGTATACAAGTGTTGTGATGGATGAAGTGCGGTCGACGGGTAGATGTGGTGTTTCAGTTGAGAGAGACGAGCAACACTACGAGAAAGCAACGATGGGTTGAAGATGGAGATAGCCAGGATGACGAATGCTAGCAAGAAGAATCTTGATGGCGCAATTTGGGCGGGCATGGGCTAACACTAACAATCTTCAGCCCCTCGTTTCTTTGGTGGGGTTCTGCAGCCGGGTGGATTGACGCAACCCATCATCCATAGAGGGCTGGTCTGTGCGCTGCGGGCGGAGGTTACTGCTTTCGTCCTGGCCTGGACGCCATAGCAACAACACCAACGGCTTTCGACTCGTCTTGATGCACAGACATTCGAGACCGCTGTCTTGTCTTACGAAGCAGAAGTCTTGTCGTATCGTTTTCGACGCATCCATCCGAAACTGAGCGGATAACCGAGCTGTGCATCCGACTTACGCGACAGTAAACAAAGATCGACACAAAGACATCCTCACCGACGCGCGCATCTCAGAATCAAACTCGGATTATTCCGCCCATAGATCCGCATCACAGCGCACTATTCTCACTCCGACAGAATGGCTTCGGCAGAGCAGCCCGCGCTTGCGACCACAAAGCGCAAGTTCCACAAGCTCCTCGACAACCTCACGGCAAGCAACTCGACTACTTCCCTCGCGAGCACTCTGCAAGAGTCGAATGCTTCTACTGCTTCGCTCTCGGCGCTTTCCGAAACAGGCAGCCCTGAACACCCGAGCAAGCGCCCGCGCAGTGCAAACCTGAGTATGGAGCGTCAGAGGGGTATATCCGAAGGTCAAGAGCGCATCCGACAGCTAAAGGAACAGCTCATGACCCCACGAAGAGAAGGCACGATAAAAGTCGTGGGCAAGACCTTGGTAACGCCAAAAACTTCAACGCCGAAAGCCTCCACGCCGCGCAAAGCGCCAAACTTCCAGCCATATAGCCAAGATCACTTCCTCGAGAGGCTGAAGACATTTGCAGACGTGCGGAAGTGGACTACCAAGCCGGATGCTATCAACGAGGTTGAATGGGCAAAGCGGGGCTGGAGCTGCGATATCTGGAATACAGTGGCTTGCAAAGGTGGATGTGAAAATCGTGTTGCGGTCAAGTTGAGGCCAAAGCGCAAAGATGCTAACGGCAAGGAGCTCGAGATGAGCGAGGACCTGGCCTTCGATATCGATGAGGCTTTGGTAGATAGATACACGGATCTCATCACCGAAGGTCATGCGGATGACTGCTTGTGGAGGAAGCGCGGCTGTCAAGGTACGATAAAGTATGCGCGTGTAACCGCCACACAACTAACAACATGAACAGAAGATATTTACCATATTCCTATCGCGTCGCGGACGAAGAGCTCAGCCGAGTTGCTCGATCGATACCGCTTTCTCAAAGCCATATCCGCCGATCTTCCTCTCCTCGAACACATCACGTACCCCGAACCATCCATACACCACATCCTTGAACGCATACCATCATCCTTCTTCACTTCAGCAGGCACCGAACCACCTCTATCGCCCAGCGACATCGTGGCATTTGTCTTTGCCCTCTTTGGCTGGACCGGCGTCTCAGAATCTCGCATATCCCTTGCAGTATGCAACCACTGCTTCCAGCGCCTAGGTCTCTGGCTCTCCTCCGCTACGCGCCTCAAGGAGATGAGCAAGAAACTAGACGTGCCCATTGAAAGCCTGCGCCTCAACCTTCTCGAGTCCCACCGCGAACACTGCCCCTGGAAGAACCCAGATGTCCAAGCAAACTCAAAAGACGGTCCTATCGCCAATATGCCCGCCTGGCAAACCCTTGAATTCATGCTGCTCGGTCGTAACAGAGATATTGCCGCCGGTATTTACACTCCACTTAAACAAACACCTAGGAAGCAACATGCTAGGAACAACGATAGCATCGATGTGGGCAGTGAGCTCGAGTATCCGCGTGGCAGTATGGATAGCGTCGAGAGACCCAAAGACCACGACGACGATGAAGATGGTGGTCTGCGCGAGAAGTGGAGTAAGCTCAAGGCGAAATTGAAGCGCAGTGCCAGTAAGAAGAGTTTGAAGAGTACGAAGAGTGGGAAGAGCACCAAGAGCGGGAAAAGTGTTATGACAAAGGCTGACAAGGAGAAGTCTTAGGCAGGCTTTCTTCGGAGTCGGTATCGTCTTGGATGAACGGTGTTGTCGGGTTATCTTCTTATTTCTCTAGGTATGATTTATGGGACACAATATTTTGTCGCTGGGCGCCTCTACGGTTGTATTGATATACCCTTGTAATGAAAGCTGTTGGAGGTAGTGATTTGAGACATGTACATCATGAAACCAGCGAGATAACAAAGGTGTTGAACTATTGCATCATGACATTCACACGTAGGTATGCGTGATAGACTAAGCAGCTATGCTCCAGATGATTAATGAAAATAACAAAACGCCAACCCAGATGCAGACCATAGATCGTGGGCAAAAGCCGAAAGTGTCCCAGTGACTTTTGGGGGATGATGACGCCTAGGCACCCTCTTCCATTTTCACGTCCTCCTCATCGACCTTCGCAACTCCCTCTTCTTCTTCAGCCACCATGGCCTCGGTGGCTTGCTCGCCATCACTGACACCGTCTTCAGCCGCTTCCTCAGCTTCGAGAGCCTTCTGCTCCGCCTTGGCCTTGTCCGCGACGTGGTTGATAATCTCAGTATCCTTCTCATTGAACAACCGAAGCAACATGGCCTTGCGGTCGTCCTTGTCGACCATGAGGTTGGCGCTGCCAGGATGTCTCCAGAGTGGCAGTACCATGCGGAATGGGATGCCCTGCTCTTCATCCTTCTCAACACGGATAAAGCAGCAACCGACGTCCATTGGCTGGAGCTGCTCGCCGACCTCACCCAGACCGGTGTCGCCCTCCTTTGGCAGCTTGGGGAACATCTCTCGGATGAGTTGGTGCAATGTCTCCTTCTTCTCCAGCTTGACTATCCGCTTCTTAGCCCATGGCTCAAGAATACGGATACCCTCATTCTGCAGCCTCCATGGCGCTTGAGTACGGTCCTGGTCCTTAATCTTGTGCGAAACGAACATCACAACACCGCAATGTATGAACTTCATGCCACGGTCCTTGTTCAGAGAAAGAATGATCTTTGCAAGGTCGGAGGTGTAGTAGATCTTGTTGAGGGAAAGACCCTCCTTGTTCTTGACCATGAAGCGGTCGCGTGGGAAGCGATCGTCGATGCCGAAGAAGTCCATGATGTTGGCGATGGTTGGGTCATCAGAGGGAAGGTACTCAAAGTACTCCTTGGCTTGGGACTGGTTCTCTGGCTTCAAACGGGCAGCCGAGCCGTTAGTTGCGGGTTTGGCGTCTGGTGTTGCTGCTGCTTCCTCGGTCTTGGCCTTCTTGGGCGCTTCAGCGTCTTCAGACTCCTCCAGCTTACGCTTCAACGGAGCCGCATCAGAGGCATCCGCAGACTCCCCTTTAGTCGCGTCTGCCTCGACCACATTCTCATCAGGGGTTGGGATCGAGGAGTCGGTAGTCGTCTCAGCAATGTCGTGTGACCTTTGGGCCTTGGCTGCGTTCTCTGGGTTCTGTACTTGCGCAATCTTGATGTCGTCCAGCTTCTCAAGAATGGCAATGAAGAAACCGCCAGTGTCTTGCAAATGTGGGTAGACACGGATGCAGTGTTCGAGAGGGATGCGCTCCTCTTCGGACGTTGGCACAGGCGGGAAACATCCGGGAGTGACCTTGGTGGAGAACTGGCGTTCTGGCTCCTCGGCCTCGTACTTGGCCCTTGCCTTCTGGTATGCCTCCCAGTTGGTGAACATATGAGCAGTCTTCTCTCCTGCAGCGGTTACTGAGGATGTGTCGAGCACCTTCCACGAGTTGAGACCCGGCTTTCGCTTTAGGTTTGGCAGATGATCTGAGCAGTCTACTAGTCGGACCTTGGAGTTTCCTCCGCAAGCCTCAATAGCTGCTGCAACGACAGCTTCGTTCTCGACAGGGTTCAGACTGCAAGTAGAGTAAACCATACGGCCACCCTTCTTCAGCATCTGAAGACCTCGGAACAGGATGCGTAGCTGGAGACCATGTAGGCCAAGACCATCCCTGGGGCTCCACTTCTGCCATACGTTCGGGTTCTTACGGGCTGTGCCGTCACCAGAGCAGGGCACATCAGCCAATATCCTGTCGTACTTCAGGTACTGCTTCTTGTTGCCGTCGCTGGGTAGTTCGATCGAAGGAAAAATTGAGGCGTCGTGTTGCGTGACAATGAGGTTGGGGAAGTTGAGACGTTTGACTTGGTGAACCAACATGCCGGCACGCTTGTAGTCAGAGTCGTTCGCAATGAGGAGACCTGTTGAACGTCCGCCGTCGCTGTAGTCACCGTCTTGGGTAAGGTCAACCGATTCGCCGTTCGCTACCCGCTGTACGCGCTCCTCTTCGTCGCCGTGGATCATCTCAGCCAACTGCGCCGACTTGCTTCCCGGTGCTGCGCACATATCGAGGACCACCATTCCTGGCTTCACATCGAGGAAATGTGGCGGGATCATGCTGACAACTTCCTGTCTGCTGATGTTTCCTGATGCCGCTTCGGCGACGAGGAATTTCTGGAAATCGGCAAAGGGCGCATGTCGTCGAATGACCTTCTTGTGCGTCTTCATGTGCCACACGAGCTCGTCAGGGAAGGCCTCCACAGCCTCGGGAGGCGACACTGGCTTGCCTTCGAAGCGCGTGGATGCAATGGCGGGGACATAGCGCTGCTTAAAGATTTCGCGCACTGCGAGAGCATCGGACTTGGTGCCAGTAAAGCGGAAACTGTTGGGCAGGTCGGTTTGGAGCGCCTTCCACATCTCCTCGAATTCTGCTTCTTCCAAGAAACCTCCCATTTTGTAGTAGCTCTCGAAGAGCTCATTCTTGCGCTCGATGGTGGACCATGGCTCTGAGCGAGTATCACGTCCTCCACCACCACCGCCACCGCCGCGACCTTTGTCCTTGCCGCGGAATGCTTTGCGACCACCGCCCTATGCGAAGTCAGTGGGCGTTGTACATGTGTGGCGCATGCAGTATCTACTCACGCGACCTCCGCCTCGTCCCATTGCTGCGAGTAGGTATATGTAAAACTTGAAATTTGTAAACCTGCAGCAGCTGTCGCAAGTTGGTAGCTCTCAGGAAAATGTCGATAGCTTCGACGAGCGGGCCAATAGAGCGGGGCATTAGCGCTGCGTTCTGTCTTGGCGGCGCACTAGCGCCCGCACATGAATTTCGTGCTGGCCAGCCGAACTTTGTTCCTCCAGCTTCCGACAACAACAAGGATACTAACCACCAGCAAAATGGCCCGCTCATCGTGAGTATACCGCTGTGTCAATTCATTGCAGTCATGCTAATTCATCCAGCGTCCCCACCCAGAATGACATCGCTGTCCCCGAGTCGGTGCTCAAGAAGCAGAAGGCCCACCAGAAGACCAGCGACTCTCAGGCCGCTGAGTTGAAGAAGAAGCGTGAGGTATAACAGTCTCCCAGAACCTGCGCAAGCAGATAGGAGTATCACAGTTGGCTAAGATTTCTTAGGCCAGCAAGCAGAAGCGCGAGGTCATCAAGGAGCGCGCCGCCAAGTACACCCAGGAGTACGCAAAGGCCCAGCGCGATGTCATCGAGGCCAAGCGTGCCGCGAAGCGCGACAACTCTCTCTTCGTCCCCGCTGAGTCCCGCCTTGCCTTTGTTGTCCGTATCAAGGGGTATGTCAAATTTTTCAAGACGGTTCAGATTGCATTCTAACTTGCGCAGTATCAACAAGATCGACCCCAAGAAGCGCAAGACCCTCCAGCTCCTCCGTCTTCTCCAGATCAACAACGGTGTCTTCGTCCGCCTCACCAAGGCCACCAGCGAGATGCTGAAGATCGTCGAGCCTTTCGTCGCTTACGGATACCCCAACTTGAAGACCGTCCGCGAGCTTGTCTACAAGCGCGGTTACGGAAAGGTCAACAAGCAGCGCCTGCCGATCACCGACAACGAGCTCATCGAGGCCAACCTCGGCAAGTTCGGTATCACCTGCATTGAGGACATCATCCACGAGATCTACACCGTCGGCCCCAACTTCAAGGCCGTCTCCAACTTCCTCTGGCCCTTCAAGCTCTCTTCCCCCACTGGCGGTTTCCGTACCCGCAAGTTCAAGCACTTCATCGAGGGTGGTGACCTTGGTAACCGCGAGGAGTTCATCAACCAGCTCGTCAGGCAGATGAACTAAGCTGTTGTGCTTTTGTTCCATGGGTGGAGTAACGGTTAGCTTCAAAACGATACCATGAAGATTACGACTACTGGTCGCCCACTCCTCGACAGAGGATGGAGGGCAGGCCGAGCCACATGCTCTGGTTAGCTTAGACAATCTTCTGCACATCAGCTGGAGGAAGAATTCAAAAAGTTCATTCCACTTTGTCCTCTGCGATCTATGCCGCTAATGAGTGAATGTTCGCACTTGACTTTTATATCAGTATCCCATGTCAAAATCATCGTCTTTCTCAACCTTGATCAAATCCTCCTGACTCCTACATCTCAAATGCCATAGCTCCCGCAAACGATCTAGACTTAGGCGCTCTACTCGCCATTCGGATATACGTTGTTCATCTGCATCAGGGGCCCGACGTGAAAATATACGTTTAAGTGAGAAGGGATTTGGTCCGTAGTGAACGACCAGGTAAAGACACATTGCTGTTTCGGTGTGTTCCAGAGCTTCTTGACAAGGTTCGATGAATAAAGTTTCGTCTTAGTGTAGTGTGGTATTGTGGTTTTGAACGAACAGCAGTAATTTGATGTAATGAGCGTGTATGAAGCGGATGGAGTGTTGTGGATTACACCATGGAAGGTGCAGATCCAAGATTATACGTGAATGGGTGAGTCAACCACATGCCCTGATGATATCGGGCCCAAGCTGGGCTGACCTGTTCTCAACATGGATGGAATACTATGTCAACTAGGAGATCGAACGATTCTGCGCGACATGGGTTCAAATGGAAGGGATGGGGATGGATTGGAAGGGCTTATAGTTTGGGCGCAGGACAAGGGTAGCCTGGAGAGAACAAAGCCCTATGGATAGAGTTTCTTTGATACCCGCGCATCTCCGGTCAGGTGAGGCTGCAAGCAGCATTGTAATTATATTCGCGGACGATTACGTGAATAGTAGTTCTGGATCGAGTGGAAGTCATATTGTGTATTGAATCGTCTGTCCGTGTGGTTGGGTGGACGTTGAATTGGGCGTGAGCAGAAGAGGGGAAGGAAATCTCGCTCTCTCATGCATTGGAGAAGGTATGGATAAAGCCTTTCGTTGAGATGAGTGTGCGATTAGTATTGATTCCAATGGAGAATACAGGAAGAAGTAATCGTATCAATACAATCGCAGACTCACACCTCACAAACCTGTGACTAGAACCTTGAATTTGAGCATAGGTAACGACTGCATTGGAATCGCTCACAGAATATGCTCTTCTCGAGCACAAGACGTCTATCATACAATATACAGAGATCCGTCGATGTCTTTTGATAAAGACTAGGTATCCATCGGAGACCGCCGTCTCCCGCTTAGGTAGGGCGCCCTATCATACCCCACGACACTGCCCCCACACTTCCGGCTGCGCCGCAAAGTGGCAAAGGCAGCTACCTGGTATCCTTTTACTCGATGCCATCAAGTCAGATACATCGTACACATGCTGGCGGCGTTTTCTCTCCATGTTCATCAATCGTCGCAACCATATACCAAGAACGGTGTCTGTGGCTGTGACACCTGCTTTCACATACCCGTACCGCCAGTACCTCCAGGTCCAAAGAAGAATCCGTCGAAAAGGTCCAATCCATTACCCTAGAAAGTTTCGTTAGCATATTGTCTCTCATATGTTGAGAAAGCAACTTACATCACTCCAATCATGTGTCCCATCACCAAAGCCCATTCCGAACCCAATCCCTATATCTTGTACTCCACCACTGCCTGCATCTGTCCCGCTGCTTGCGCCCTGCACAGGGAAGCTATCCAAGAAATCCAAGTCTGAGAAACCTAGATCGGGATAACTGGACGTGACATTCTGCGCAAAGCTGTTGTAAGGCACCTGGTTGCTAATCTGGTATGGTGAGGGCATGGGTGGGTTGGCAGGTGGTGTGGTGGAGAAGGCGTTTTGTTGGTTCGGGCTAGTCATATTTGGACTTGCAGCGAAGAAGCTGTTCTGTTGTTGGTGGGTACTGCGGAGTTGTGGGGAAATTTTCAAGTCGGCTGTGAAGGGCTGCATTTGTTGTTCGGTTTTCATTGGTGCAGGAGGGGGCCGCATGGCGTTGACCTGGTTGCTCACGCGGCTGAAAGACCGCTTGTCTGTCTCGTCATCTGAGAAAAGATCCTTGAGGTTCATGTCGAAGCGTGGCACTGGTCGACGCTGTTGCTGCTGTTGCTGTTGGTGGCTAAAGAAGCCGCCTGTATTCCTTGCTCCATAACCTTGCATTTCAGTATCTGACCTGGCATCTGTATCGGCTGCAGATCTATATGCAGTGGTTGGCGAAGTCTGTGTTGGGTACTGTTGTGCTTGCGGGAGTGACCGCAGAGCCTGAGGTCCAAAGCCTGTCGTGGACATGCACATCTGAATGGTGGCTTTACTCATCCGATCGAATGCGTCGCGGCATGCTTCTGCTGGCGGACACTTGTCAACGAGGTCACCCAGTACGGATGTTGCGGCAAGGACGGTAAAGTCGACGTCGTCAAGGGACTGCATTAGTTAGATTTACATATTACACCAGTTACGTGTAGCCACGGTTACACAACAGGGTCAGATATACATACCAATAAACTGCGTACGTGGACACTATGCCACACTGCATAGAGGAATGAGATGCCTGCACACATTAGCGCTGTTGAGTTCCGGTGAAGATTGAACTCACCAGCCATGAAAAGATGATGGGTTGCAAGGAAGGTGTAGTTGACAAGGTGCACACGATGCAGTTGTCGGTACAGCTTCAGAACCTTCTGGCCAGCTTCGGCTACCTTGAGGAAAACCAGGTCTTCGTCTTCACGTTCCTCAAGATTACTCATTGAGGGGCTTCCCATGTCGGAGCCAGTATTGCCCAGTTCTTCTTGCAGACCAGAGGGGACGACCAAGCTCTGCCGGTACAGCATGATCAACGCTTGCCAATAGTTGAGCTCTAGGAACAGCGGTGAAAACTGCACACCAGCGTCCATCTGTGTTGGCGCCGAGTCTTTCCATTCCAGTAATCGCCTGTCGATGTCCACGCGCCATGCGCGGAAAGACTCAAAATTGATCAGGAAGGGCGAAGGCAACTTTGTGTGCATAAACTCATTGCTTCGGTTTGCACCGCTTGCTCTTGCCTGTTGTGCCTGTCGGTGCTGTAGGACTTGCAAAATTTCAGACTGCAGTAGTCTCAGCCGGAAGTAGTGATGGGCTACAATCTTGTACGTGGGCTTTTCCTGGTGCACTGGCGGTTCCAGGAATCCTTCTTTAGTGATATAGCGATCATCGAGAAGCGAAGGAAACTCGGTAGTCACAATCTGGTCTGTAATACCCTGTCTACCTGTTAGCCTTTCCAAGCATTTCTACATCAAGATTGAGCTCCTCGCAAAATTGCCGTAGCATGCATACGGGATCGCAACATGACCGACATGATCAGTAGCACCATACGAGAATGGAGACTGTACTTACAAAAGGTCTGCCAACACACGTGCTCACTAGCCGGTCCAGCGAGTAGACGCACCACCACAGGCGTCTCCGCAGGTCCCTGACCCACTGTCTGCGACCTCTTTCCTTGGCGTCTATTTTGGAAGGGTTCCCGCCGCTGGCAGCTGTCGTATTCCCGTTGCCTTCGGATTTGAAGAACGCGGTTCCGGCGGTTTGGTCTTCCGCACCCGCCCCGTCGATACCCACACCGTCCTCGTAATGCAACCCTAGGTCCACTCCAAGACGGACGGCAACACCGACAATGTACCACAAGCCAGGGGCGACGGGTCTCAGCAGAGCAAACCCTGCGAGCAGTAGCACAGCTTGTAGTTCTTCAAGGCCGCCGCCGAAGCCGTCGGGACGGTCCGCAGCGGGTGAGGAACCCAGGAAATTCTCCAGGTGCACGATTGCGGACGCGTGGTACTCCTCGGGCTGATGCTGGTGGCCTGCAAGTCGCCGCTTCTTGCTGCTTGGTGGTGATGACCGTGACTTTGTTGGTGAGCGGCCATGATCCGACGTCGGCGAGCCCTCAGAGTCGGAGCTACCCAAGATGATGCCAGCACCTATGGCAAACACAATGTTGAGCATGTACGACTCTCGTGAAGTACGATGCCGTTCACCCGAAGCGTACACACGCTCAAACATGACCATGAACTCGCCCCGATGCAAGATTGGGATTTGTGGGTTTGCGTGCTCAAAGTACAGCTCAACAAGGCGCGAACCAAGCTCCCGGTCCGGGAAGGGCGCCTGCCTTATGGTGGGTTTGGTCTGGAGTCCAAAGAAGGAGTCGCGCATCGAGGTGCCGCTGTCCACGACATTGGTCGCCGCTTTGGCTCCCCGATTGCTCCCGCGCTCAGAAGAAGAGCCGGATACAGAGCTCTTGACGGCAGCAAACACTACGCGTGCAAAGGATATGCCAGATGTTGAGCCCAGATATCTCGGGTCACTGGCGCCTTGCACCGAGACCATGCCAATGTTTGACACGAGCTTGGTAAGCTTCTCGCGATCGTACTTGTCGCTCTCCTCCTTGGCCTGGGCGGCGGTGGGGTTGATGTTGCCATTGCGAGGCGGCGGTGCGGCGGATATGGGTCGTGGTGTGACGGAGCCGCCATTGGACACAAAGGCTGGATTGAAGTCTTCGGCGTCCTGGAAGGGGATGGAATTCTCCCGCAGGAGGTTTTCGAGGTATGCGATTCGGGTTTCGCAGTAGAAGACATAGCTGTTGCACTGGTCAGTCCTGTGCCGAGGCGACTCGCGATAGCTCCCCTCCAAACTTCATACCTGCGCGGAATCTCACGCTTGGTGATGGGATCGTAGCCCACACACTTAACGCCGGCCTTGTCGCAGGAGGCGCACGAGGGCAGGCGCTGGTCGCATCGGTTCTTGCGCAGTCGGCAGCGGTTGCAGGCGCTCACGTTGCGGAAGGAGCTCGACGACGAGGGCGCGGCGGGCGATGTAGGCTTCGCGGTCGACACGGACGAGTCCGAAGGCGAGGCTTTGTCCCCGTCATGAGACGACTCGTCCAAAGAGCGCTTGAGGCCGCTCATCAGGGCGCATGGCAAGAAAGTCGGGCAGGGTTCGGGCTAGTGAAGCTCGCGCACGTAAGGCGTCTATTCTCCGAAGCAGCTCTGAAGAGCTCAGGACGGGTGGCCGACAATCTTCTTACTCCCCCCGCACTCTGAATTAAGGCGTCAGCAACCGCAACAGGCGACGTAGATAGGGCTGTGGGATGCGATTGCACGAGGAGCATGTCTTCCATGATCCCCAACGCAGCCGAAAGTCGCTGCTCGCCCGCTCGTGGATGGCTAGCAGGTCGGCTACGGGCCTTATCTCTACAGCGTAAGATAGGCGTGGGCGGAGTGTGGGTGCTGCTGCTGCACGTCATGCTCGCCATGTGGGCGGACTTTTACTCTGCTAAGTATGTAGTATGGGGTGCATTCACAGTCAATATGAACAGCATGTCCTGCTCACTTCTTCCTCGCTCTCGCGTTTTGGCCCTGCAATCACGACAACGCCTGCGCAAACGGCTGTCGTGCTGATTACATACCAGCTGCAACATGACTAGACTGCCTCGGCTTCGGCAAGCATCCGTCGCCATCCTTCGATACCAACAACCACAAGCGGTACATGGGACATTCGTCACCACGCAGTGATCCATATGCCGAACATGACCTCGTGATGTATCGTTTCATGGTAAAAGCCGGAATGCAAGGCGTCCTAATCCACGTCTTGGCTCGTCACTGACTCGCGATGCCCGTTGCTCCACCACGTGCATGAGGCACACCGATCCAAGCACGTGTAGAAGCAAAAAGGAAGCATCCGTAACATACAAGGGACCACATCGGCAATGCATACCATTACACCTGTTTTGCGGCATCCGGGTAATGCGGTCTCTATCCTGGGTCCCGACAAGCATCAAACTCACCGCTGCAGTCTTGCTCTGACTCAATACCAGCTAATGCACTCCTCACAACGCACATGGCAAAACAAACTTCTTTTGTGGGATCGTGTGTTTGAGAAATCATCCAAGTCATGAATTTGTGCTCGGGCACCCTAATCTAACATACAATGTAGCAAGGAAACTAATAACTACTGGGGTATTCTGTTCTTGAACAAACGCCGGCTCGTGGACGACCATTGCTGGTCTCCGATACAATCGAGCTTTCCCTTCTAATAAATAATGACCAAAGTCTTGTCCCAAAATGCCGCCCTGTAAACAATGTCGCTAAATCGCACCCATAATGATGCGCCGGCGGGTGATGAACTCATCTCATCCCGCAAAAAGTGTCTCTATAATCCGAAATTATGTTGTGAAAGGAAAGGTCGCTACCAGCGCGTCGACGCCAGGCAGGTGGTCTGTGCCGAATCCTGCAAGTCGAGATGCGTCGTTACTGTTTTTGGTCGTGATTGCGTGTATCTATTTTGAGAGGACGATTTCGATTTCGTCCGGGGTGAGAGTGATGACAGACTCTGCGTCAGAGTCGGAGTCAATGAGAGCCTCTTCGTCTTCTTGTGCAGTGAAAGCCGATCGCTTGCTCTCTTGGAGAGCAAATCCAGGCAGCCAGCCAAGAAGAGCAACAGCGGCAATAGTCCACCATGCAAGGCCAGACATGTGGAGCGAGGTACCCAAGCTGTCCACGGCACCTGATACGGTAGGACCAAAGCCGCGGGAGATGCTGGCAGAAGACATTGCAACTCCGTTCAGCGTGCCGAGGACCTTCTTGGATGGAGATGAGTTTGCGAGGATGATGGCCAGGGATGGGTAGGAGAGCGACTGGAAGGTAACCTTGGCGATGAGCAGAGCTGCGAGTCCGGGAATACGCAGACTTTCAGGAAGGACAGCCAGGTAAGGGGCAAGGAGGTAGAGAACCGGGTAGCAGGCTAGAGTAATCCAGAAAGTGCGAAGGCTGCCGAGCTTCTTGCTGACCCATGGGAACAAGATGACCTGAGCGAACATCTGGAGGAAACCTTGCGCAGCAAGGAATGCTCCAGTGGTCTGGGTTGACCACCCGAAGCCACCCTCGAAGCGGAATGGAAGGTGCTGGGAACCCTTGGCTGGTACATCCTTGGACATGAGAATTGGGAGGAGTTGCTCGAGAGAAATGGTGTGGAAAGCGAGAATGCCGTAGCACACCACATTCAGAATCACTTGCTTGGTGAATGCTTGTCGGAAGGTTGGCGCTGGTGCAAGCTGCTTGTCTAATTCGAACTCAGGTACCTCTGAAATGGAAGTTCGCGTGCTGCACAGGGTAGGCGAGCTGTCAGTGCTTCGGTAGGCCTGCACGTTGTGGTCATGGTCGCTGAGCATCGATCGCATCTCGTCAAGCGAAGCATCCTTGTCGTCGAATGTTGCCTCTGCCTCTCGCTTCCAGAGTTTGCGCAGGAGCCATTGCCCCGCTTCGCGTCCCCTATCCTGGTCGTATTTGCGGTCCTCGTGCGTCTCTTCCAAGAAGAGGATGCCGACGGTAAGGCCAAGAACCACGAATCCAGTGCAGACCAGGTTTGGAAGAAGAAACGGGTACGTCTCAAAGATGGTGTCCTGGAAAAACGGCATTACGTTGGCGGGACGAGCGAGCAAGCCGCCAAGCGCTCCGCCGATGATGGTGCTACAAAAAGCGGTCAGCATGGACAATTCGGAACGTGTTCGGTAATTTCTTACCCAAGGCACCAAACAAAAGGCATGATGGAATAAGCGCGCGCTATCAAAAGTCAGTCTCGCGCGGCGTATAATTAGAGTTATGGCAAAACTCACGCTGATGTCGCTCATCCGTTACAAGCTCAGCGACGGTGGTCTGGAGAACGCCGATGTTCCTGCATATAAGGTTAGCGAGGCTCGTACGCTAGATCACACTATGACCTCACCCGTTGAGCAAACCCCCGAGAGCCCGCGCGATCAATGCCATTGGTAGGCTCTGAGAGAAGCCGAACAGCAACATGCTCAGCCCCGTACCAAAAAGACCTCCTAAGAGCACCTTCTTCCGTCCTACCCGGTCACTAAGTCGGCCCCAAAAAATGCCACTGATGCACTCCATGAATGCGAAAGAGGAGGTGACCATGCCGGTGTACATGGAGATCTGGGCGGTGCTTTGTCCGGTCATGAATGATTCGACCATAAAGTAGGCGTACGGAAATATCGACATGAAAGCGATTGGTTCGCATATCCGGCATAACGCTGCTGTCGTTAGTAACGGCTACGAGCCATCAACTGTGTGATGCTCACCAAGTACGGCCATTTGTCGAGTTGGGAATGGTGTTCTGTCGCTGCCCGCGGCAGCTGCCACGCCATACCGAGCCATGTTGGTAGTATGGAAGTCGAATGTGAAGGTCGAGTGTGTAGGTGTGCAGGTAGTCGAAGAGGAATGTCAAGCACTATGACTGAATGTGGTAGATGTCAAGTAGAGTGTGAGTCGATTGAGACAAATAAGACATGTGCGAGTTTGCGACAGATTAGTACCTCCAGGGCTCAGAGGTCAGAGTCAGTTTGCAAAGGACGCGAGCGTCACAAGGTATATAAGGAGCAGCAAGATTTAAGTGGCGTCCTCAAAACGGATAGACCGCTGGGATGAGCAAGGATTGTGGCGGCGGGGAAGAAACGGAGAACAAGCGGTGATGCCAGTGGGTATGGATACGTAGTGTGGGCGGATAGGGACAGCGGAGGGACCAGCAAATGTAAAATGAGTAGCGGATCCGTGATGCCATCGTTGCTACGAAACAGCCCACCGTCTGTCGATAAGCGACCGGAATGTGCAGTGCTGGCAGCCGAGCTGTACCTAGCTCTGTTTTTTGTGACTCCATGTCACCGGACGGGCTCTGTGTGAGCATGCGAAAGCGAATGCAAACCCCTGAGAGTGGGCCAGGGCTGGGCTGGGGAAGCTTTCTGCTCATCGAACAAACCGGTCCGGGTTGGGCGGAATCCATGACATTGGACGAGCTAGAAGGAACCGAGTAAGGCGGACCAGGGAGAGTTGCAAGAGCGTTGGACGTGGCTCGTAAGAGGAACAGGATCAACAGAGCAACCCGACTCCCCGGGACCCAAATCCTCGGCGCTAGGAGCCCGCATGCTTCTACCGACATTCACAGGCACTAGCGCCCTGATTCGAGCCACAGCAGGGGAGACCCTGTCGCTCTGTGAACGACATGCCGGCCGTAGCTGGCCGTGTCCTCATTCCTAAACGGACAGAGCGGCCCAGTGGCCGGTGCCCCGCCAGCAAATAGGACGCCGTGCCGGCTATGGTGTAGAACACAAGGCGATGCTAATTTTCGCAGCGCCCAGTTCAGGGGCACCAGAACACCGCCGCGGTCAGACTTTTGACATGAGGCGAGTCAGAAGATTCGCCGCAGAATTTCGAGAAGCAGCTCGGACCACGATGCTGGGGCCCTCGCTATGGCCCTCGCTGTCATTGATGATGAGCAGCATCTGTCATGGCATCATACCTTGATTGCTCCGACAAACCCCCAAAAAATAGCGGTGTACCGTATGCCATTGGGTAACTGCACAACAACCGGTCACGCGGCAGTCTGCATTAGACGGAGTCGCTTTGTTGCAATACATGACGATCCGGGTTGTCGTCAGCGCCACAAGGCACGAGTCGTATCGCTTGAGTGGCCGAGCAGGACGACACAGCGCGTTTCGTGTCCCTCAGATCGCAAGCTGGCACACTAAGGCGTGCGGCGATTTCATTTGCTGCCCCAGGTATCATCTCTCTGCACCCCTGTCCGGTCAGCGTGGTTTCGAAGCTTCCCACAACTGCGCATTGGGCCCAACCGGGTCGCAGGACGTGGCTTGGTGCTTGCATCTGTCATTGCTGGTCACACATCGTGATTGCATTCTCATCAGTCATCAAGGCATCATAACCCTAGGAATTCCATCAGCTGACCATGCTTTGCGCCCATCTGCGGCGACGTAGCATCTGTACTGCTGCCCAGTTCAGACCGCTCGGCTAGGCATTGCCAGCAATTTGATTTCCGGTGGGCCCGGACATGCGTCCGTCGTGTGTTGTAAGTGAGCTGTCGCGGTTTTCCAGCGATCTCTGCTGGCTGATGGAAAGGTGTCAAGGCACAACGGCTGTTTCGACGCAACCTGGCCTAAGCGGTCATGGCGGTGTGGATATGTAAGGCTGGCCTGCAGATTTCCACGCGAGGACAGGGTTCGCAAAAAGATGGAAGCGTCTGAGACAGCCACCGCCTTTTTTAGCGTCTTTAGGATTACGCCCCCTGGCCCTCTTATTGCTCTGATGGAATCCTCCGAAAAAGACACCATGCTTCTTTGCTCTTAGGCAATAGCATAACTCATAGCGCCGTGACGAAGATGACAGCAGATGCCAGACGAGGGCGTGGGTTGGAGAGATTTCGGAGGATTGGGGTGTTCACGCGCTTGTCGGCACGAGTGTACAAAAACGAAAAGCCAGCCTCGAAACCGGTAGCGTGGGTCGATCGGAATTGACGCTGCCCGATCATTCTGCAGCAGCCTGTTGCTCGATCCGGCGTCAACTCTACCTACGTACAAGGCTTCGTATGCCTTCGGTCGCGACGACATGTAACGCCGTCGCGTAAGGCTGCCTATGATGAGCTGACTGGAGCCAGCGCATTTCCATTCAAGGGCTGTACGACGTGGTCATCAATCATCACAGGCGCGGCACGGCGTCTCAGAATAAGCATAGGACGGCAAAGGCTCATTATCCTGATGCTTGAGGATAGGATGTCTCGGCAGTCGCAGGACGGGATCACTAACATCACGTCCCGAACTCCGACGTTTTGCAACGTTGTAGGTGTGTGTGAGCCAGTTCCGCTCTGACTCGTCGGTGCCAACGGCGCACGCGGTCATGCGTCCTGTATTGCGTTCTGACGTGAGTCCGGTGGTGTGCGTTCAGCCGGACCGTTGCGAGCCTGCCGGCACACCTGATCGGTCTCAACAACACAGTCAGAGCCTTGTCCCAGTGCCGCAGACAACGTCCCGAGCAGGGCCTGACATAGATGGGCGACGAGGGTTGAGCGGCAGTCCGGCACCTGGCAGTTGCGAAGGATGCGCGCAGTGTTACTGCGAACACATCCACTGGTGATGCATGGAATCTGCTCAACGCGGGTGTCGCATCCGACAAGTAATCAATCCGACCAGACAGCCACGACTTGCGGACTGCTACTTGGACGAGCAGCATATAGTCGTTACGATCCTACCTTGCGCGCATCTCCATACGCGACCTGGTGAGATACAGGGCCATGTTGGTGGTATTGCACGCTCAGCGAATGGTAGGGTGGGACAGCGCGTTAGACTGAAGCAGGTGAGGGCGCAGATCGGTTAGCACTAGCGTCAAACGCGCTTCGGCTCTCATCATCGCAGGCGCCGTGCTTGTAAGAAGCCGAACGACCAACAACCATCATCGTTGCTCACGAGATGCCGTTGTCCGTCTCAGCGTCGGCTCTCCCGTCTTTTCGGAAGCAGCATCTTCTCGTCGAGTTGTGAGTCGAGGCACATGACTTGGCGGCGACGTTCCCTAACTCTGCACAGCTCCCGTCTGCGCTATGCACAGCTTGATGGCATTTTCTTGAGTATCACACCTGGCGACCCGTCACTGTGGTTTGGTGTAATATTCGTGCGAAAAGGTAGGCTGTACCATAGGACTAGGCGATCGTCTTGCGTTCCCTGTCATTGCAGACCGGCATTATTCACGTTTGACAGGACCATACGCGCCCGCAGTCTTACGCTTCCAAATATCTTTTCCACCCAGCTATCCTGCCATACCACCCCTCGTGACCTTCTCTACCGATGTCTTTCACCCGCTGCTCACGCCACTTACCACGTATACTTACACGACTGGATCCGCCGACACGGATACCGTAAGTGCAACAGACGAGGAACGGCTACCACCTGGAGGGTTCAGTTTACGACACGGCTTTCCACACTGGTTCGGAAGAGCTCGAAGATCTGTACCAAATTCTCGTGATGTCAGTGCATCTTCAAATGTACTTCCTATGCGTTCCGACTCCAATGTTACCTCTGGTGTCCTCGGCGGTACCCAGCCAACGGCCGAATACTCCATCGTACGCATGCTAGAGTACATCCGCTCGACGTTTAGTGAAGAATCAATATTGGACTCACTCCCGTTAGAGGCAGCTGCGAACCCAGGCGCCTACCACGCGTGGCGGGCGCATCGGGCTCCAGTATTGCAATCTCAACAGTCAAACCCAACATCTCCTAGCCTTGAGCCTTCCACGACGGAGAATCCAGAGGGTGCGTCTGCACTTGGACGTAATCGACGACCAGGAGAGTGGAACTGGGAAGGAGTATGGGAAGATCGCGTAAGAAAAGCAGTCAAGGCTAGTATATCTGAGCCAGTCCTATTCGGCACTGGCGCTGGGGAAGACATAGTAAGTTGCAGTAATATCTGACTAAGCCAGTGCTTACTTCTGCGATAGATTCGCTTTCGCGAAGCGGACGACGAGATGCATGAGCAGATGAAGAAGCACATGGAAGTCGCTGCCGCACAAATTGGTGAGGCGTAGTTGTCGATTTATGGCGTAAGACCTATAGGGCATCGATTCACGTATGAATGCATAAGCACAGAACTCTCTACAGAAACGCAGTTTGAAGTGAAGTTCAACAGCGTGCTCTCCAGGGCAGGAACGCCACAGGTTTGTTGACGCACCCATTCGCACCTTCCAACTCATTTCAGCGCTTCTCCTTCTGGAATACTTACCTTAGCCGACTCTCATTGTCATGCCTACGTCTCAAACGCACATCTCAGTTTACGCATTGGCTACTCTTCTTATCTATCCCCATTCCGTTTGTCATTGCGCCTTGAGAGACCACGCGCTCTGGAGACAACTCGTGGTGAGAGTGAGCGCACCGCGGTGACTGAGCTTCCGTTTGTTGCTGTTTCGAGCGAATTCACAATGATCACAACGATAACAGCTGGCGGTATCTTCTCGGACCGCGCACCTCTCTGCCCACCCCCACTCACCATCCAGAAAAAGTCGCGCAAAGCAACTTTTCGACGGCGAATATTTCGTAAGTCAACCCCTACCTCCAGTGACGACCAGTACGTGTTCGGGCCGCTAGACGATATCATCGACGAGATCAAAAGCGATATTCGGGAGTTACCACTCGACTATAGCTTCGAGTCGTCCGTGTTTGGCTGGGCGCGCCCACTCAAAGCACCGTGGTCGTGGAGTGTAACACCTCTTCCCGTCAGTCGCACTCCTAGCGACCATCCTCTGACAATACGGAAGAATAGAAACAGCCGCTCGTCAGCCTCAGGCTCAAGCCTAGGACATTCGATGGCGTCTCCGCGCAACAACAGCTATGACGAGCCCGAGAGCGGCGGCCCGGTACGTTCCGTGCATACCACTGAATTTCCCCCCTGGCCCTCGATCGACATGCTATCGAGCAAGGCTATGCATGCATCCAAGCCTCCTGATTTTGCTGCTGGCGCTGAACACATGAGCGCACAACAGGCTCTTGAGAAAGTGAATAGCAAACCCGAAAACCGTGCTGAGCCTCCAAAGCGGCGTATGTCCAAGTTGCGGCTTTTCACAAGTGGTCTACCCCTCTTGCGTCGCCAGAATACCGGAGATACGAGCGCTGGTGTTGGCGATACGCCAGATTCAAGCTCGCCAACTGGCACTACATCGCTTGCATTTCATGTTGGGATCGAGGAAGGTTCATCGGTAGAGTATCCGGGCGACGAAGCTGTCGAGGCTTACTTGCTACGTAATGCCCGCAAGTGCGTTGATCCCAACGGTTTTGTGCATCAGCTACTAAATTCATCCAGTGGAGAGAAGTTCAGCTCCATTATGGGCCGCATTGCCAAGCGTCTTCCTTTCCCTACGGACTTTGATCACGAGACATCCGATGCACAAGTGTCAGGCTCAAGCTCACTATTGCCGACTACTCTTCGGGCAGCGATTAGACTGTTCCCAGAGGAAAAGCTTGTTACCGAGGAGTACCAAGAGCTCGGCGTCGCTATTGATATCGAGGGTGTCCTGTACAACCGAACACCTCTGCCTGATACCGGGATCGATGTGATCTTCGTGGTAGACAACGGGTCGGTGCTCATGCGATGCAGCAGATGATGGCAGCTGACGTTGATCACAGGTACTATGTCACCACAGCTTGTCTGGAGAGGTCATTGGACGCTGTCAATGGAGCCTTGGTGAGCCACTATTCTGCAGTTCCCAGGAGCCACCTGCTTACTTTTTATAGCATCATCTTGGCCATGGAGATCGCCTGGCTCTATACACCACTCATTGCACCCACCGTGATGTCACTGGAAACAGGCCAGAGGTACTGTACCCACTTCAATCCGTGTGTGCGGATGTCGAAGAGATATTCCAGGAGTTGACGTCGGGGATCGCACAGTCGGGTTCGCAGCTATGGGACCCGCCTCGTCCCAACCCCTCCATGACCGACGTCATCCTTGGCATAGCCAGGTCTATGCAAGGCAAACACCTGAAGGCTGGTCTTACTCATATCATCGTGCTCTCTCCTGCAGCCCATGTTCTACACGACGTGTCGAAGACATTTCCAGGCCTTTACATCCATCGCATCAATCCTGCGCTTCTTCCCTATCGTCGCGAGCCAGAATTTCAAGACACCGTCTGCCTTGAAGATTGCTGCAAGAATGTGTTCGCCAGTAACTGGTGCAAGTACCAATCCACCTCTGGTCGCATCAAGCGCATCTTGAAGAATGCTCGGTCTGAGAAGCCCGTCGGCGAGTTGACTGACTTGTGTGTGGAAATTCGGCCCAAGTCAGGCTGTGAGGTCCTGGATATTTACGGACACAAGGCGATCCCTCATTTGTTCCCAGGACAAGTTCACACACTCTTCACTCGCCTTCGCATCAACAAGGCTGAGACCCAGAGTGTCAAGCTTGACTCGGACGATCCTATTCTCAATTCGAGTTTAGACGCCAATGGACTGAGACAGGAGCTACTAAACGCCGTCCGCATGGGTGCAACTAAGGTCCACATCCTAGACGTACAGGTACTACACCACACTTCACTTCACGGTGCACGATCCTGGATCTACACAGAGAGTCCACTAATTCTCACACGCGAGCTTGGTGGTCTAACACCTCCCCAGGATACATCCATGGAGTTCTACAGGCGTCAAATTTTCTTCAGCCTCGTCCAAGGGTCGGCAAATGAGGCTAAAATCATGGCAGAAAAGACTCTTAGTACCCTCCCTGAGTATCATGAACAAGCAAAGAAGCTGCTTAAGCGCATGGCGCAAGAAATCGAGTGTCACATCGCGATCCGCGAGTATGAGAAGAAACACCGACAGAGGCTTCCACTGTGCCCCGGTCCCATCGAGATTGAGGGACCCCACGAGTGGCTTGATGATGTGTGGGCACGCAAGAAGAATAAGCGCAGCGGCGTAGATATGGCCTGATGCTTGCCTACCAGCATATTGGTGATTCATCAAACGACGATGGTGAAGGTCAGTGGTAATGGTGGCTGTCAGCGCCTTTGTTTTTGGCTCGAAGCTCATGGCCAGAAGAGCAATGGGGAAACTGACGATGCATGTGTTGGTGTGGCGAATCTCGCTCTGGGCTCTTGACCGTTGATGGCTCTCTCATGATCTGGAACGATCTTTGCGATACAAGCATGGCTACCACGTTCTGGATCTTCTTCAAGGGAGCACGCGGAGAAAGCCGCATTGTGCCCAGAAGCACAGATACCGCGCTATCCGAAGATGGTTTGCTGGGGAATTTCTTGGGGCCCGGATCTTTTACGGTCCCGGTATTATGATGTACAAACACTATTAGATTATACCCCAATGCGAACCATGAGCATCACACGAGAGATCAGCCTGCATACAAGATTGCAAATCTCCTCTTTGCTGTTAATCGCCGAGGCGAACGCTGGATGACGTTTCCGTTTTTGCTTTTTCGTTTCATCAGATATGCAGGTCGTTTGTCCCTTTCTAGAAGTCAAAGTTGTCGGTCGAACTCGGCTGAACACCCTTTCTCAACGGCAGCTCTCGGGATAGGGCAAGTAGTCTGGGAAAAGCAGGGTGAGGCTGCAGGTGCATCGCAGGACTCCGGAGTTTGCTCCGTCCACATGTCAGCCTGGTTTTTGCGGCTCGATCGCGAGGGTGTTCGAACATTTCGCGGTTCACCGCTACCACTACCGCCACTGCAGCGCGCTTACACTGCAAGATGCTAGTGTGTAGGCGCACACGAGCTGAGATTCAAAAACAAAAGCTACCTGCATATTCCTCTCCTTGCGGCACGCGATCCCTGGACCATATTTTTCATGATCTCGTTTCCACACTATGCAACACCATCGTACATGCAGCAGCTCACAGACGCAGATGACAGGGAAGACGCAGGTGTGCGGCATATACCCACCAAGGTTAAGTTAGAGTCCATCAGCCTCGGAACAAGCACAATTACCCTGACTTTGGCGCCCCCCTATTAGATCGCTGTATCCGACCGGAATTTTGCCCCGGGGAGCGGGAGCCAGTAGCGGTAGGTGGTAGGAGTCGTGATGTAGGGATAAGGTTTAAGGCTAGCATGACGGCAGAGCTTGCAGATGCCCAAAGGCTGCACTGAATGATGACGGAAGAGGGGTGAGCTTTCGGCTACGGGTCGTACGATGAGGTGGGTTACAATTGATGGTGGCATGCTTGTAGATGGGGCGCATATGAAGAGTGCATTGCTTGTAGCTTTAGTGCAAAAGAGGGCTTGCGCGTGTTTATTTCTTGCAACACGGTAACACATGTGGGGTATTGGGAAGGAAGCATGTATGTGTGGAGCATTTGGTATGAAAGATGGCTGCATATGGGTCCTCACCGCAAGAAAGGGATGCACGCTTCATTCACCAAGTGGAGCAAGATCTTCACGGTAGTATGCGGTCTCGCGAAGATGATCCGGACAGTCTTCGGATGCTAACCATGTGCCTCGTATCTTGGCCATGTTGGAGAGACTGCATGAAGAATTCGGCTCAGCGGCATTGTCAAGTTGATAAGGTACTGTCATTGTATTATGTATGATGAGAAACTAGCGGCATCAGTCCTATGTACAGGAGAAGGGTTCTGCAGTAAACTGTATTATGCAGTAGCACAGGATAAGGAGATTCTAGTGCTACTAATGCTATGAATAAATGCAGCGATATTCAGGAAAAAAGGCTAAGAAGATGCGTAGAGGCAGGTCCCGACCAGTATTAGTCGGGGTCGTAAAGATAGATCATGGTATCGAAGACCCAGAGATACACGGAAGCTGTCATGTCTTCGGTAGCAACGATTGAGAGTTGAAGGAAAGACATTACACGCGAGACTGTGGCCTGAGCCAAGTTGAAGCTCAGAATGACCTCCCTACCTCCGAAGGACTCCATGGGGATCTCATCTCCACCTTCCGGGAGACAGAATCGCGGTACCCAAGTCCCTTTCCTTTTCTCTTCTTTGGACTTGCTGCCTCGTCTCTCATGTCGCCCATGCTGTTCACTTTGGCAAGCAGACTCATCCGTGGGCCTTCAAAACTCTTGTTCGAGTTGAACATGAAGCTTGCCTTCACTGCCGACGGTGTAGAAGAAGCTGGGTAAGGATTTCGTGTCGATATCATAAGCTGGCCTGTACCAGTCAATGGCGTCTTGCGGCGGAGTTGGATCAAGGAACGTTTCTTGAGAGGAGGTGGAGGAGAGAGATTCGGCCGCGGCGGAGCAAAACTATGAAGAGGCGGTGTTGGCAATGGTGAGTGAAGACTGGATGTGCCATTGGAAGTGCGTTTGATCTCTTCCCAGCCTTTGTTTCGAGGCACTGAAGTCGGCTGTGGGGATCGAGACGAAGAGAAGAAAGAGCATCTCTTCTGAGCGGTTGTTTGATCGCTGTTCGGCCGGTCAGGATGTGATAGTGGTAAGGTGTTGTTGTAAACAAACGAAGCATACGAATATTGGTCATTTTTAGATGTAGGGAAGAGTATGCTACCAGTTGATCGAGGCTGAGCACCTGCTAGAGATTTCGCAGCAGCTATACTCGGTAATGAAGCTGTGGATGTCTGGTCGTCCGGAAGTATTGTTGACAAGGTTGATCGCATTGGTGTCCTCGGCACCGGCGCATAAACCATCACTGAATCTGGTGTTTCCGTTCGAACGTCCACTGGTAGAAGAAGATCATGCTCTATCGCATCTACGAAGGGATCATCGACGTGTCCCTCTTTGATGGATGATAGGCTTCGTCGCGGACCACGTAAGTCTGACGGGTGATTCGTTGAACTAGGAGATGTTGGAGGACAAGCGTGGAAACCTCTTAATGACCTTTGACTTCTGACACTACTCCCTCTTGACGATCGTGCGTGACTGCGACGCAAGCTACAGCCATTGACCATAGGACTCAAAGTTGGCGATGGGATGACATGATCGTGAAAGAGAGGCGTCAAGGAAAGCGGTACAGGCGGGAGAGGCTTTTGCGGCCCTGCCCCGTACTCTGCGACCGCAGCAGCAAGAGCAGATGCAGTTTCACTTGGTGAATTAATCGCGTCACTACTTCGCCAGTCCAGGAAGGGGTCCTCGGGATCTTTGAACGGGTTACCAGGGTCGCTGTATTGCCAGTTAGGAGAGTCGTAATCGAAAGAGTTTTGAGGCGCTCGAGGAGGTGTTCTGCTTCCAGTTGATAGCAATCCACTGGCACCACCGGACATGAAGGCTAATGCCTCATCATCTTCGCTATCTCTACCACCATTCTCACCAAGCGAAGGATCGTACAAGTATGCGACTTTAGGGTAGACACCAGAGGATCCCCAGCTTTCGTGCTTTGCTGCATGCATCGCATGATAGCGGCGAGCGACAAAGATCGCTGCGACGATCGCAAGGAGAACCCCAGCTGTACTACCTAAAGCAACCCCAGCTGTTTGCGATGGGGTCAATTTAGGTGCAGCTGCTGTAACCACTGTCTCGGTAGGACTGCTGGTAGATGTATGGACTGCACTTGGAGTCCGTGTTGAATCCTTGTGAACGTCGTTTGACAATGAGCTTGTGTGCGAGCTTAGAATGGAACTCTGAGTTCTTGTCTTCGTCACAAAGGTACGGATTAGAGAAATGGTCGCACTTTTTGATGTAGATATAGAGCTGACCGAGGTAGGGCTTGCTGATGTGGGAATAGAGAATCTGGCAGACGTGGTGATGAGCGGAGAGATTGACCCAAATGCGGGAGACATGTGTGAACTGCCTGATCTGCTAGCATGAGAGGTACTGATTGACTCAGTGACAGCAGCAGTTCCAGTAGAAGTGTATGTCTGAGTGGCGCTGGGAAGCGAGATGTTACCCGACCCAACAAGAGATGCTGAGAGGGAAGGGTGCGACCAAGAGGAGAGAGACATCATCGTAGTGGCTGTTGAAGCGGTGGTCGATGTTACAGTAATGTTACGATCCGACTCAAGTGGTGCAGTTGGGATCCCTACAGACTGGATGGACGATGCAGTGCTCAGAGTCCAGCTAGTCGTAGAGGATATGATGATTTGAGTAAGAGAGGCGGAGATTGGCGAACTGAATAAAGATGTTTCGACTGTACTGGGAGACGATCCATTTGTACCGGCACTCGGGAGGACACTTGTTTCCAGAGACGTAGTACTAAGAGCCACTGAGGACGACACGGTGCGATTTTCTGTTGCAGAATGAGCTCCCAGTCCAGTCACCCGTATTGACATAGTAGTGATTGACGCCGTCGAGCTTGTATTACCGGTCACGGTTGCGACGATACTATCCGTGGGAATTGTGATTCGAGACAGCGTAGAATCTTCAAAGGTGACTGATGCAGAGATGGTGAGACTGCCACCAAAAGCGAAAGTAGAGCTGTCGATCAGCAAGCTGCTTGACTGAACAGATTCTGTCGCGATTGTTGTATTCGTGTCGTTCTTTGCTTCGCTGGTTGGAATGGACCCCAGAGACGACCCCGAGATCGTTGAATAGAAGGAAGTTTCTGACAACACTAGGCTAGAAAGACTGGTCGCCTGAGAGACAGATATCATACTGGTCGGCGTAGCCAAGCGTGTGATGGTGGCTAAACTGCTACCATCGATGGTTGCTGTGTAGCTCGATTTCAGCCAGCTTGTAAGACTAAGTACCGAGTGCTGTGGTAGTCCTGCGATCGCTGTTGGAGCGCCTGAGGGCGTTGGCAGCGTCAAGGTGGAAGTTTGAGACGTGCTATCTTCGGTCATGGGTGAAAGAGACTTCGGGCTCGATACATCTGTCGCCGTAGCTTGTGACGAGCTTGGGAAAACAGCTGCCATCGTAGTGATTGCAATAGTATCAGCAGTGACGGTCCGAGAGAAAGCCCACGACGTCTGCGTAAGAGGTAGCACTACATTGGATACCTCGGTTGGTGTATCAGACAATGAATCTTGTTGTCTTGTTGTCGAAGGGGTGAAAAACGCTGTTCCAGGCATGGAAAGCCTA